AAAAAATATTTGTAACTTAACTTTTATTACACGAGGACAAGTTCCTCAGTGTCAATTTTTCACAAATGCTTCCCAAATGTAAAAAAAAAATCACTATTCCTGTATTGGACAACCTTAGATAGAGCTTCTGAAATTGATAATGTGTCAAGCTATTGTTTAATTTATGCTCCAATTTATGATTTCCTTGCACAAACCTCTGTATGGAAACTCATACAGCAGCTATAAGCAAACACTGAGATAAGAAAGGATTCTTCCAATTGGTCGCTAAAGCAAACATCCAGAAATGGCAGCATGAAAACCATCAATATGATCCAGAAAGTTCTTCTTCCTTACGGCAAAAGTTCTTCCTGAGCTTGTCTATTCATTCCTATGGGAGTGTCTATAAAGAAATAAGTGAACGTTTACATGAAACTATAGCTGTCATTAACCCATCATGTAAAAAAAAATACACTTAATAATCTAGACTTTAAACCCTAATGTTGTGTTCCGGTCATTTTGACCCGGAGAGGATTTTCTTTTTCTTGAAAATGCTAGTTTATGTTATCGTATTGGGCTTAAATTTACTGACTTAACTCTTTCTGGGTAACTCACCCCCCCCCAAAAAAAATTTTTTAGTTGTTATTTTTTTTCTTACCTCGTAACACTTGTGATGTTCTTGGTCAAAAATGACCAGCCTACAAAAAAATGATTATAAATTTCGTGTTATGAAAAAATATGACCAAATATTAGATTCAATCTTTTTATCAACTTGTTTTCTTTCAATTAGCATAATGTTTTTATCAATCTGAGCTCATGTACTAAGTTTGTAAGCGAATATTGCCAAAATGATCCACAAATAATGTTTTTTCACTCAAAAACTGAGGTGTGTAAGATGAGATCAGTGAGGCTTATAATCAATCAATTCCAAAAAGAAATGCGAAGATTACAAAAACGAAGATTTACAAGCATTTTTAAAGGCTAATCATTTTTGACTGGGAACAGCATAGGTAAAGGATTTCTCCGACTTTTAAAACCATTTCTGTGCCACTGAGTCTTGATCAGTTTACTTCAATATCATTTCATCATCAATCCTGATCCATACGTAGAATGTGTTTTTGTGACTTGGACATGGAAAGCTAAGCAAACTGCTGCAGTTTTGGCCCCTCTCATGCATTTAACTATGCTTTCTAGCAACTTTTCCACTTCAAACCAGCAATCTGTTCTCAGTGGCTCTCTGTTTCCACCTTGAACAGACCCCTCCTCCTTTCTTTTGTTCCTTTCCCTCCCTCTTGCTCATTTTCTCTCACTAACCCTGTTCTGTTTTGAATCTTTTCCTCTCCTATTCTTTTTCTGTCTTTCTGTCTCATCCTAACTTCACCTCCCTCTTTCTGCCTTCTGTCTTCTCCTATACGCTCATTCACAAATGCAAACAGACACACAGAGTGACAAGTGCAGGTCCCCAGACGGCTGGTCTTGCGTCACAAGTCGAGCCTCTTCTGTGTGTAGTTTAGCCAGCTCAGCTCTACCGCATGCAGACAGAGGAGGAGGAGAGGAGGCCAGGTGTGTGTGTGTGTGTGTTGTGCGCGCAGGGTGAATGATCGCCTGGATATTTCACAGAAGATAAGAGGGATACAGATCTGTTAACCTTGGATAGCACGACTGGACAGTTAACTGTGAAGGAATCAATGTCTTCCCAGCCTTGACCATGCATCATTGTTAACAAAATCAGATTTTTCTCTTCAGAGTCATTGCTTTTTTTCTGCCAATCAAGCTGTGACAGGAATCTACATGATTTGGTAAGAGATTATACAAT